CCAACGACCCTTGGCCATAGGCGCGGGCCTCGTCGTGCCCCAGGGCGCTGACCCTCGGAAGCCCAGGCGCTGCAGCCGGCTCAGGCAGCCGCGCCCAAGGCCCGCGCGCCAGGCGTCCCCCCGCAGCCCAGCACCCCCAACTGTCCCCCACCCCGGCTCACCTGTCATTCTGCCCGGCCCGCCCCCGAGTGCTAGCCGAGAAAAGTGGGGCGCGGGCCAGCAGCCTGGGCCCTCCTTGCCAGGGCTCCAGCGGGCCCGCAGAAGAAGGGCCGGGTCGAGGCCGCGTTCCGGCAATGATTGGGTGACCTTGGCTTCGTCATTTACTCCCCCCACCCTGCCCCGGGACTGCATGCTTCTCTCCTGTCAAATCTGGGAAATGGGGAGAATCCTGCCTCCCTCGCGGGGCTGCAGCGAAATAAATGAGGAAATGAGCTTGGAAAACTCTCAAGTCTCAGGAAGGGAAGGGGAAGGAATCTCTTGGGCTTGCAAGGGGAGCGCTGGGGGTGGGGGAGGTGGCTCAGGAGGCCGCGCTTTGGGAGGTTCAGTAGACAGGACAAGACGCTGGTAGCAAATAAATGACACTAGTCCAGGGAGAACCACACGACGAGGTGGACTGCTGAGAGGGCAGGACGGTTCCGAGGGAGCTCAGGGTCTGGGCCTGCCAAAGCCTCCGCGGAGGGGCTCGGTGCACCCTGCTGGGCTTTCAGGGCTCTTTTTATTCTCTGCTCCTCTGGAGCCCAGCCCAGCACTGGAGTTGGCGACCCCGCCTCCCCATTTGGTGTTTTTGGGCAGAATGATCCTGAGAAGGTGTCTCTGGAACTACCCCCACCCCCATTCCAGGCAGAGAAACACCAACCTGCCCTGCCTCCTGGGGATAGGGAAAATAGGGGGCAAGGCCTCCATCACCCAGGGGCCTCTCCCAGTCCAGCCCCCAGGGCTGATAGAAAGCAGCCTTGGCCAGAGCTGAGCTCCCCCTCTTCCTCCCCTTCCCCCACTCCCAATGGTGCTTTCCCCTCCATCCCTGTCCCCTGTTCTCAGACTCCCCCCAGGGCTTGCTTGCTATTCCATGGCTGCAGGAGCCCTCCTTCCCCATGACAGAACCTCTAAGGCCACCCCCATGAAGCCAGGAGGTCGTGCCCCTTGGCCTGTGGGATGGGCTTCCACAGAAAACATCAAGATTACCTGTGGTTGAGAATAGGGCTCCTTTGGTGCCCAAAGGGCTGTGTATGTTTTAGAGACACCCCTCCTCAGTTCAGGGGGAGAGAGCCTAGGCCTTGGTTGGGGGTGGGGGAATGGTTTGGGACTCTTCAGGAACTTACTTCCTGGGTCTTACTCCACCACCCCATTTCCACTCTGATCATAACAACCACTATGTTCACAGGCTACTTCACACAACATTCAGTGTGAGGCAAGGGTCTACGGCTTCCACCCTCCTCCTGGCACCCCCACCTAAGCTTCTGGCTCCAGCAACACCAGGCTACTTCTAGTTCCCTCTCGGAATGCCTGTCCTCCCACTGTCAGCCTCTGTGCACTTGTATTCATTCTTCCCATATAGCTCAGATGACATCTCTACTCGGAGGTCTCATGAGATTCTCCACCCTCAGCCGTGTTTATTTATTTATTTATTTTTTATTTTTCCCCCAAAGCCCCAGTAGATAGTTGTATGTCATAGCTGCACATCCTTCTAATTGCTGTATGTGGGACGTGGCCTCAGCATGGACAGAGAAGGGGTGAGTCGGTGCACGCCCGGGATCCGAACCCGGGCCACCAGCAGCGGAGCGCGTGCACTTAACTGCTAAGCCACGGGGCCGGCCCCTCACCAGTGTTGACTGTTGCATTCTCAGCACTCTGTCTGCAGAGACTCTAAACGCAGGAGCCTCTGTGGACACCAGGGGTGGGAAGGGTTAAGAGAAACACCTCTGCAGCATGCTGCCTGCTTCAACTCTGCAGGACCACATATCAGCTCTATGATCTTCAGCAAGTGACTTAACCTGTCTGCATCTCAGTTTCCTCATCTCTCAAATGAGAGTGACGATAATAGTACCTGCCTCAAACCACGGTGAAGAAAACGAATGGGATAATCATGTCAAGCATGCCTGGTGCTTAAGTATGAGCCTAATACATGTCAACTTCTGCCCACCTCCAGCTGCATTGTGTTCATTTGGTTGCTCACTTGGGTTGCACACTTGCCTCCTCTGTTTTGGGTCCAGGGACTTGTCTCTTCATGTATCTCTAGCATCCAACACAGAGCCTCATCCACAGCAGGTTCACTAGATGCTTGCAGAGCTGAAGCAAGAGAGGCCGGGCTGCAGTGAGGAGCTGCAGTGGGAGTCAGCCTCCAACTTACCACCAAGATGTTGTCCCCAACACCACCAGCAGCTCTGGCCCCTGCTTCCTCCCCATGGGGGGCCTGAGTCTTGGCTTCCTCCAGACTCTCTTCAGAGGGCTTTCTAACTCACCTCAGGATGACTCCAGGCACTCCCGTGGGTCTGGCTGGGGAGGACTGCAGCCTTCCTTCCCTCCCCCACACCTGCTTTTAGATCTTGGTCTGAACAGTCCCCCTCTGCACCAGGATGAGAAGGGCTTGGCCACTGGATCCTCTGCCTTGGCCAGGCACGAAGCAGTTTTGTGCACTTGATGGGTTTTATTTTTCCAACCAAATCACAATTAGCTTCCCCCAGGCTACTGGCACAGTTCAGACCCTCATTAACTAAATTCTGGAAAGATGTTCCCTCTCCCCCATCTCTGTTACATCCAATGTGCACCCTTCTCTTACCTGCTGCATTGGTGATCTCAATAAACACACCTTGGCACACATCAAAATCACATGTGTAGGGCACTAAGGATTGTGGGAGGACCCAGCTTCAAATGAGTATATGGTATACTTGCTCATAATAAGAAAGATGGCAAAAGACAAATCATATTTCAATAAAAATTCCTAATAGAGTGCAACAGGACAGACCTTCTACCCAAACTTGTCCAAACTTCTAAACTATCTCCACTTCTGATCCAGATCCCATCTGACAAGACCATCTTCATGGGTGTTAGACCTATGGCGTCAGACAGGGCCCAGCGCTTAGAAGGGTTCTCTGTGCATGGTTTAAAGCTCTACTGTCGCCATCTTGAAATTCTTTGTACTTTTTGAACAAGAGGCATGCATTTTCATTCAGCACTGGGCCCCACAAACTATATAAGCAATCCTGCCCATTGGTGACATTCCAAAAAATCTTGATCCTACCCCAGGGTCTCAACCACCCTGCCACTCTTCTGACTCCTCCCCTCCTCCCCTCTGTAGGCCTTAGCCAGTACCTCCTTCTTCACCCCTCCACTGCACCAATTCCATCATCTTTCTCCACATGGCCTCTCCCTGACCCCATCCCTGTGGCTCATCCTTTGGCTGATACAAGTTCCCTCTTCCAGCCTCATTCTCTCCTGGCACCTCATTCTCTACCCTCAGCCATCCCGGAATTGAACACTTCTATGAGCTCTGCTGCCCCCCATTCCCTTATGTCCTCACTGAGCCTCATCCCATCCCTAGCCTAAACACTGATCCTTACCCCATAAGAGGCTCAATTCATCTCTGGACACTGATTAACCAATTAATTAAGTGTTATTGGCTGCACTGTCCCCCCTCAAAATTCATATGTTGAAGACCTAACCCCCAGTATCTCAGAATAAGATTGTATTTGGAAATAAGGCCTTTACAGAGGTAATTAAGGTTAAATGAGGTCATTAGAGTGGACCCTAATTCAATCTGACTGGTGTCCTTATGAGAAGAGATTAGGACATAGACAAATGCAGAGAAATAACCATGTGAGGACATAGGGAGAAGATGGTCATCTACAAGCGAAGAAGAGAGGTCTCAGAAGAAACCAACCCTACCGACACCTTGATTTCAGACTTGCAGCCTCCAGAACTGCAAAACGATGAATTCCTGTTGTTTAAGCCACTCAGTCTGTGGTATTTTGCATGGCAGCCGGAGCAAACTAAGACATCAAGTATTTACTCAGTGCTAGTATGTGCCAGGCACTGTTCTAGGACCCAGGATTACAGAAGCCAACAAAACAAACAAAAACTCCTACCTCATGGAAATTAGACAAAAAAAGAGAAGTCAAAGATAGAGGATGTTGGGTGATGATCAGTGCTGTAGAGAAAAATGAAGGGTCTGGGGGTGCACAGTGTTTAAATATAGTGGTCAAGAAAGACCCCACTGAGAAGATGGTATTTGAGCCAAGCCTCAAAGGACATGAGGGGTCATACTGTTCCAGGTCGGGGGATCCACACATGCAGAAGCCCTGGAATCAGTGGCTAGCATGTCCTAGGGTTGGCCAGGAAGCTGGTGTGCTGAAATGGAGTGAGTGAAAGAGGAAGATCGTAGGGGATGAGGCCAGAGAGGCCAAGAAGGGGGTCATGAGAGATCCTGCCGGGCGTCACCTGGACTTTGGGCGTTAGTCAGAGAGGACAAAGGACTTTGTTTGTTAGTCAGAGTGACGTGGAGAGACATTGAGGGATCTGAGTTAAGGGGTACCATGATCGATTTCTATTTTCATAAAAGTGATCAATCTGGCTACTTAAGGAGAACGCATTGAAGAGAGGCAAGGGTGGAAGCAGGGAGACTATTTAGGGACTATTGAAATAATCCGGGTGAGAGACAATGGTGGCTTACACAAGGTGATGCAGTGGAGGTAGTGAGAAGTGGGTAGATTCTGGGTAGATTTTGATGGCAGAGTCATTAGGGTTTGATAACAGATTTGTACTGGGCTATGACAGAAAGACAGG